TTCTAAACATGATGTACAATTAATAATGAGTTGACTTTTCTTCCTATTAATTCTAGTAAATGGGATGATTTTGTATATTAAGTATAGATTTCACCAATTATAACATAGATGTAATTTTAGTGTTCGTGTTCAGAACTAAGAAACATGAAAATTTAATATATTCAAACATAAAAAATTGTCAATAGATAATACTAAAAAAAAATACTTTTTTCTATTCTCTTACTCATACCTTATTACAATATATTACTTCGATTCTCAAATAAGTGTTGGTAAAGTTGAACTGTGACAAATATTATAAATCGGTTAAAAAAATATAGTAGATATTATTTTAAAGTTACAAAACTTATTAATTTCAATTATGCTAAAATTATATTAATTTTTATTATAATGTATATTATAAATATTTTGAGTTTTCATTCTAATCTGGTAATTCACAAGTTGTTTAACACATGTTGATTTATCATTATAATTTATAATAATATATATTTATTTATAATTCTAATCTAAAAGCTATTAATTAGTCATCAACATGACATGGGCCGCCAAAAGGTCAAAAGCCGATTGTTTTGCAATTGACGTCAAATGGATCCTTTTTCTTCCTTTTCTTTGAATGTTTTAAATATTAAATGGTGAATAAGGGTATTTAATTTTATATTTGAAAAACTATATATGCTATTTTTTCTTTAAATAAACATAACATCATTAGAGATAAAATAGTTTTTGTACAAATTTTATAGTTTATTTAATTAATATCATTTTTCACCTACTTATATGTACCTAAAACCATAAGTTAATGCTTAAAAAAATTCTATAAAATCTATATATATTGAAAAAGAGAGGTCAATAAATCATTTGTGGAAACTTTCAAAAAAAGTTTAGTCAACCCATTTGACTTCCTAATTAAGGAAATTCTCAAATTTGATTGATATTAAGTTACGGATTCTATTTTCATATTTTAAGGACCCCATTATTATTTAATGAAGCTGAAATTCTGATTTTAAGGACCCCACTATTGATATTTAGTTTTAACAAACTAATTCCATATTTTACGGGCCCGGAAATGATTTTTAAAAAGTTGAAATGTAAATGATTTTTGGACTATTTAGTTTGATTGATGAAGTTGAAATTCATGTACATATCATTTCCGGTCCCATTTTTTCTTTTACAATTTTGAGCGAAATATTTAAAATATAATCAGTTTTTATTTTCTACTTTACGTGTCTAAAATAAAATATGTGACAATTTAAACATATAAAATATCAAAATGTTAATACAAAAACAAAAATTAAGAACGTCAACTAACAAAAATTATTTATTTTTTTATTTTTTTTATTTTAAATCATTCCAAAACAGAATCAGGCAAAAAACAGAATACTGGAATCATTTCAGTAAAACAATTTGGCCAGATTTTGTTTCCAATTATTCAGGAACCACCGGATTTTCTCAAATCATAGGAATTCCAAATTTTTAGGTAACAAATTTGGAGATTTTTTTGGATATATTCCAACTTATCTTAACATCTATATAACTATATTACATACAAAGCTCTTAATTATCTTTTAAAAAAATCATGTTTTTTCTTTTCCTTTTCTCCCAGCCATTGATGGCGTCCACGGCAAGAAGCTACTCAGTTTTCTGACGGCGGCTTGCGACAGGCGAGGAGCAAATGCTGAGACCAACATGAAACCGGCACAGAAATCCAGTGTTCTACACGTATTGAAGCCTGCCGTGCAGCACGCCACCGTCCGTGGCAGGCTTGGAGTTCAGGCCGGACAGCATAAGGCGGAGAAATATAGATGCAACATATGAAACATATAGTATCATCAAAGGTATGTGGATTGTGTGATTGTTGGGGTGAAGTGATGAAATATGATGGATGGAGTGTTGATTGTTGGGTTATATGAGTTTTTCTTGCTGCATGATTCATTCATCTTATTATGGTTTAAGAACAATTTACTATTCGAACCAGTTATTTCTTTTGTCTTGAGTTGTAGGGCTCATCTTTTTGAGATTAGTATTGCTTTCTTTAGACTATTTAGAACTTACACTGGTTTTTTTAATTTTTTTTTCCAGCCTTATGTTGAAATTTGAATTGTGCTTCTAATTATCTTGTGATGAATATGTTGTGCGTTATTTTGTCAATTCATTAGGTATAGTTGCATTTTCAGTGACGTGAAGAGGCTAAGCATGTAAATTGTATTTGACATGATCCTTTAATTTTTTTTACAATTATACTTAATATTCTAATTCTAATATTGTTTTAATATTGCATGATTGCCAAAATATGATCAAAGGAGCTTTAAGGAAAACAGTATTTTCTCCCTTGGTTTACAATTTTTATAAGAGTTTATTGGATTATAATGTATTTTTTTTAGCCATTTCTATAATTTAATGTTAAAGTTGCATCCATTGCAATATACTATTTTACCATTTTTTGTTGATAAATTGTTTATGTTTGATTACAACTTTAAATAAATTTAGATGTGATACTTATTTGTTGAGTACATACACATGATTTCTGTTATTTTGAAAACAATATCCTAATTTCAATTTTTAGTATGCATTAAAAAATATATCTTGAAAATAAATTTTCATCATTTTAAAATATGATTTAAATTTTTTGTGGATTAAGAAACAAATCCTAATAGAATTATTTCAAATCTTATCATTTTGAAAATCGCTTGATCATGTAATTTCTTTTTTTTAACAAAATTTTAATTTCAATTTTTTTTTTTAATATGGCGTGATACATTGTGAAAAAATGATAAAACTATGTTTATCTTTTATAAAAAAAAATGGATAATGTAAGTTTTTTAATACATACCCAACTTTATTTTAAATCGGTCTAATTTTTTTTTATCAACAATTTATATATTTCTTTAGTAAAAATGCGTGAGATTTGGTAGTAGATATAAAATATATACGTTAGAGGAAAATATATATATAAAAGAATTTGACAAGTTTTATCACGTGGAAACAAAAATCTTTTCAAATTTAGGTGCGGATATTTATTTTTGATTTATTATCGATTTTTTTTGTTTTTTTGTATTTTCATTATTTTGGAAAATTTCATAATCATTTAAGAAAATTTAAGTACATACACGCCATTNGGGATCTCATGAAAATTCCTTATTTTTACTTTGTATATGATGTAATTGACATATTGTTTGCCCAAATTTTGATTCAATTTTTGCATTTGGTTTGTAATTGCATTTTTTTCTCATTATATTTTATTAATCTAAGAATTCATTTTTGACATATTTCATAAATAATAATACGAAGGTTATAATGATTTATATATGATTGACGTTTATAAGTTAAATAGTAAAACGGATAGTTAATTTATATATGGAGAAGAATATTAAAATTATTAATAAAAAAACTAGGCCCGATTTCTCTTTAATTTTAGATAATATTGTAATTTGTTTATGAATGTAGATAGTGACGTAAGTATTTTTATGATATTGAATTTGAAACTCAAATTATGTCACAAAAAAAAATGAAAATTTTTTGATGATCGTTTTTGTAATTATCGCTTACAAGTAAATTCATATTAGAGTAGAAAAAAAAAAAAGAAGAATCAAATTATCGAAATGTAACCAAGAAAAGATTGACGTAAGTCGTCAATGTGAAGTATTTTTTTGACCAGTTTTGTTATGGAGCCATCGGATGGCTCGACTTATGCAGTCATCCACACTTATTCACCAATAGTGTAATGGCACGTGTCCTGCAATAAATACAATTTGGACAGGTGTCAACACATTAAGTAGTGGATGGCTCCATAAGAAAACCATCCAATGGCTCCATAGAATTTTTGTTTTTTTGACCGTTGATTTTGGCAAAAGATCTTACGTGAAATTCGTCATATCTCTAGATTTAATTTCAACTAACTATAGCAAATTTTGTTATGCATTATACAAACATTTTGTAAACATTATCTTACAATAATATATGATTTTTCAATTGTGTTTCTTTTCTTTCCATAATGACATGAGATGTTTAAATATAAATAATTATATTTAAATAAATATAGAAAAAAACAAATCAAGGAACAAGTAGATCTGATCTTACATGAAATTCATAATATCTCTAGATCTAACTTCAACTAATTATAGTAAATTTTATTATGTATTATACACACATTTAATTTGTAAACATCATCTTACAACAATATATGATTTTTCATATATAGTGTTTCTTTTATTTTTATAATGAGATGTTTAAACATTATCGAAATTGTTATTTTTGGTGCTTTCATCCCTTTCCCTTTTCAAATGGGTTTATGTAATGGCACACGGTTAGTTGTGACAAAACTATCCGCTCATGTTCTTGAGTGTAAGATACTCACTGGGGATCACGAAGGCGAGAATGTGTTGATTCTTAGAATGACTATTACTCCTTCTGATGTTATAATTCCTTTCAAATTTCAGAGGCGACAATTTCCGATTATGGTTTCTTATTTTATAGCTATCAACAAGAGCCAAGGACAATCGTTATCGCGAGTTTGTTTATTTATTAAGAAGCTGGTGTTCAGTCATGGTCAATTATATGTTGCCGCCTCCCGTGTCACCAATCGAAGTGGATTGAAAATATTAGTTGTAATGACGATGACATGCCACCAAATCAGACCCAAAACGTTGTGTACAAAGAAGTGTTTACTAATTTATGAAGTTTTAAATTTGTTTTTTCCTATTTTACATTTGTTACATATTTACAAAGTGCATTTAATTTAATGTTAATATTAAAAAAATTTCAAAAAAATATATCATTCCGTGCATCGCACGGGTCAGTACTAGTTATTTCAAAAGAAGCAAGAGAAAAAATTTTGCGAGGGTCATTTTTTCAACGCGGAATCACATGTCACCTGACTAGTTTTGGATTATGTCGTTGACCCGATCAAGTCTTAAAATAACGTGGGAGTGTATAAAATGCATATGTTTATTATGTTAAAGAAAAAAAAGCCAAATTAAGCAACTGCAAATTCCCAAAAAATGGATCATGGTAGCCACGTTATCTCCCCAATTACTTGTGTTTTTGTCCTTTTTCTAGTTTTAATCACTTTTATTGGCCATGTGCATTCCACATATTCTAATAACACCTTACAAAAACATTGGTATGAAAATGATCAATCGAAAAAGATGAAGAATATTAAGGCCCTTTTGAATAAAATCAACAAGCCTGCTGTAAAAGTTATTCAGGTAAATTTCTAATTACTAGTTTCACTGTTGTCTTGTTTATTGTATTTTTGTTTCTTATTAACGTGTTTAGAATTAAGAAGTAGAGGACAAGTGTTAGGGTTCTATTTTGATTTTTACATATACAAAAAGAAATTTCAACTCTCTACTATCCATATGTTATAAATTTTATCTCACCTTTTATATTTATTTTTGGCTACAGAGTCCTGATGGCGACATCATAGACTGTGTACCATTCCATTTACAGCCAGCTTTTGATCATCCTTTGTTAAAAGGAGAAAAAACAATGAGGGTGAACACTTAATCAATAGAGTTTTATTGGTCATTGCTATTATTTTAGATAGAATTAATAGTTTAACATGACTTGTATCTTTTCGAATAATACAGAAACCACCCAAAGCACCATCAAGCAACAACACTTTTGCAGAAAATTTCCAAATTTGGACAATGTCGGGTGAACGTTGCCCAGGCAACACCATTCCAATCAGAAGAACAACCGCACAAGATATTCTAAAAGCAAAATCTGTAGAAACATTTGGACGCAAAACAGTAAGAAAAAATGCAGGTGAAGAGCATGTCCATGAGGTACGCATTAAATGTTTAGGAAAATTTTATTTTTGATCCACCAAAGCTTTGGTAGTCACTACACGTAAAGGTTATACGTACAAATAAAGCTTTCTCATGAAGATGAGATATCCATAGATATATTCCATTTTGTATGTCAATGCTTACTAATTAGCAATGCATTCGAGCAATGTTAATTTGCAACGTCGAGCACTAGATGAAACATCATTTTAGAAGTTACATTTTTTTTGAATAAACCTCCACTAACTAGTAACAGCAACAAGTATGAGTCGATCTCACGAAGAGTGTGAATCAAATCGTGAATTTTTCGTAGTAATTGAAATTATAAAAAATGATAAGAGGTGGGATTGACTTTAAATCTAATCTAACTAAGAATGAGATTACGATAAAAATAATATAAAATAAAGTCGAAACAAATATATATAGAGAGACTTATAGTACATGATATTTTGGTATTACTAAATGCTCAAACAGACACTGAAACGAAATGGTCGGTAACCAATAATTGATTTGATATCGGTAAATTTGGGTATTACCGAAAATTCAAACTTTTAAAAAAAAAGTTCAGTTGCAAAATTATGAAATAAATAGTTGAAAAAAAAATAGCAAAAGAGGGGAGAAAAAGCATAATAATGTGAATGAGACCGAGCAAAGGATAACGGAATATTCAAGCTTTTTTGTGTATCAAATAACATATGTATTATGTATAGGATAAGATTTTTTTTATAGAAAAAAAAGGAGAAAAACGAAAAAAGAAAAATCAAATTAATAATGTGGATGTTCCCATTCTTTACCATAGCCTTGAGGATCCTTGTTCTGATCATATGGTTCGAGAGTATCACTGGTAATTTTCAGCCTTTCAAGAGCTAGATAAGTTCATGATCAAGAATGAAAGCAGAAATTGTAAATTTCTCTATGAAACAATCAAATTTCGAACACTAGAATTCAACCAAATCAAAATATGTAAATACATAGATCAATAAATTAAAATCTGTAAATACGTAGATCAATAAATTACTTGAAGGAATATGCATATATCCGTGTAGAAAAACCGGAAGAGGAGACGCGTTGTGTGGAAGAAAATTGGAGAAAACATGTTCATTGAGGGGAAAAAAACAAACTTGATTCTTAAATTAAAAAGAAAAAAAAAATCAGTTCGATTCAGTTAATATCGAACCATGAACTACCATTAACCGATACCGAACCGAGTATGGATTAGTTACTGTAAAAATTTTGCGGTTTTGATATTTAGGTTTAATAAAGTTAGACAAAAATGTGTTGTTAGTCTTGTTGTTTTAACGCTATAGCAATTTTAGTCTCATGCTTTTAACTTTTCGTCTTCGGTCATGTGATTTAATGTTTTGCTGCAATTTTAGTCCTTTGATGACTGAAATTGCAACAAAATTTTAAATTACATGACTTAAATTGGTAATCGAAAATCTGTGAATTTGAGAATTTGTCGCAATTTCAGTCTGAAATTTCAGCTAAATGTTAAATCACAAGACTAAAAGCAAAATGTTGGAACATTGAGACTAAAATTGCTATGACGTTAAACTAGCAGGACTAAAAATGCAATTTCTGCCATAAAGTTACTTTAACATAATGATTGATATAAGTATAAGTATAGAAATTGTCGATTTTAAAGTTGATGTATTGTCACGTACACATAATGTCAATCATTAAGTGTGTACATTAATCTTCTCAGCATGCAGTCGGCTACGCAAACGGGATATTTCTCGGAGCAAAAGCCACCATAAATGTGTGGTATCCACATGTTGCAAAGTCCGGTGAATTCAGCTTAGCACAGATATGGGTTACGTCGGGAAGTTTGGATAGTGACCTAAACACCATGGAAGCTGGTTGGCAGGTCAGAATTTTTTT